TCTCTCTTTCTTGCTTTTGCTTGCTCAATGTGTTTAAACGTAATTGGGAACGTGTGGGGAATTGCTTTTACACATGTGTGTTTGTATGTGTGTTGGCAGTTGACATTTTCATGTCTGGGGTGATTGCCAAAGTGAGAAAGAGCGGGAGAGAGCGAGAGAGAGAGAAACGTATCGTTGACTGACAGCTGTTTTTGCTTTAAATTAACTGCAACAGCAGGAAATCAACCACACATCCAGATATATGCCATATCATACAAATGCATATGAATATACATGTGTATGTAACGATATATACATATAAGTAATCCCGATCATTTCTGCTAAAACACGAAAGGATATTTTAACCGAACCAGCTTTTACATTGAATAAAAGGCATTTGCTGTTATGATATTGTTTTTAAAAGTCTTCTCAGAATAGGAAATTGTAACACATACAAAGATAAAGATTGGTTTATATGGATTATAAAAATATACAGTAAATATGCGTACAATATACAATTATATTAATAATGATATCGATTACAATTGTCTAGCCAATTGGAACCAAGCCATTATCTATAGAGTTTCTCTTGAGATAAATAAGCTGGGAAAGTTAAAGTAAGATATACAGAGTTTTGAAGCATTTTATTTGTGATCAAAATATCGATATATACTATAATATACTCATTTATTTTATATTCGATATATAATTTTGAATCAACTAGATGGACCTGTTTGTGCCAGCAAAATTGAAAAAATATAACTTGTTTAATTTGCCATTTATCACTCTGCTGAAGTATTTCTTTATCTCTCTTTTTCCATATCTTTTCTCTCTAACTCTCCACCTCTCTCTAGCTCAGTCTCTCTGTTGGTCTTTGTCTGTTCACCTCTCTAATGTGGATGGCTTTGTGTCGGTTGAAACTGGTTTGAGTCTAACTTATTTCTCTGTTATTTCGTGGCTTGCTTGTGTGTGTGCGCGAATGGATCGTATTTATGAGTGGCTGTGTGCGTGTTTACTTATATCAAGTATGTATGTGTATGTGTATGTTGACAGCCTTGAAGAGGAACCAAAAAAACCAGATGTAATGCTTGTTTGTTTATGGCCCAACGCAATCGTTACTTTTGCGCTCTCCTCGTTGAGCATTTTTGTTTTGTTTACAACTTTGTTGTTTCTTTTGAACAACAATCGCCGCAGCTAAATACAAAATGTATATTTTATTTTCTTTATTAAATAATTGACGAAATGCATTTGCATATGCGATTGTTCCCGCCCCAAGGTTGTATACCTGGGTGGAGCTTTGAAGTGACATAACTCTTATGATATTTAATAAAAAAAAGCAATGATATATCGAATGTATTTTATATACAAATTTCACATTTTTTCCTAGTATTTTTTTTAGTGCGGTTTCGTGTTGGCAGCTGAACTAATCGACTTTTACTTTGAATTTGTTTTGCAGATTAACGATTGGATTGAAAAACTCTAGTTGCTCCGCGTATCAGTCACGAAGCAAGCTAATTATTATTTGGACGGAAGCTAGTTAAGTAAACAGTAATACGAACTGATTATATATAATAAAACATAAAGAAAACAAACACGAGGCGAAAGGAACGGAGTCGAAGTTGCTGACGCCGCAGCAGCAACAGGAAATAATCGAAACATATTTCGCTGGGCGAAAGTCAACAACAACAAAGACGTGTAGACGATTCCGTCGTCCATCCATCGTTGTGGAGTAATTTACTGAAACTTACGCGCACACACGTAGACGCAGAGACAGAGACAGACACAGACGCAGACGCACGCACACTATCCAAAACATACACATAGAAAACTTCATAAGCTTGATACAGCCAGAATGGAACGTGAATCAAATCCAATGCAACCCATGTGCCGCTCGGGATGCGGTTTCTATGGTAATCCCGCTACAGATGGTCTGTGTTCAGTTTGCTACAAGGTAAGTATGCAGAGAGCCGTCGCCGCTCACGAGTCAGTTTTTGAGGGAAGCCGCACACATATTCACATTTCGATCCCTATTTTTGTAGGACTCGCTTAGAAAAAAGCAACAGCCACCTGTGAGCAGCACACCTGTGTCAGTTCCAAGCCCACAGCCTAGCCCCACATTCAGTCCGGTCATCGCAACAACCCACACTGCACAGCCCACGGTACAGAGCTTACAGCAATCACACAGTGATGTCAAAGAGGTAAGTCCCATGTTTAAGCCATCATCGATGTGGGCTTTCTTGTTCCGGCTCCTTTAGTAGGCCAAGCAGTTTGGGAACGCCTCTGATTTCTTTGTATTTTTCATCAGTCAGTCACAAATTTTTTTGTTTTTCGGATATAAATTTAGTCTTCTTATAAGTGAAATAGTGTAAACAACTTGTATGTATAAAATATAGAAAAAAACGTTCAGTGTAACAGTGCATCGTGTATGTTGGCTGTGCTGGCCACGTGTCGCTGCAAACTACGGCGGAGTTGACAAGGTAAACCCAATTGATTACAAATTCGTGATTCGTCTCCCCGCTATTCGCCCCATTCTGAGAACGCCACGAATCCACGTCTATAGCATCCGCTGTTCTGCTTCGCATTTTAGAGTCTAGAAATCAAGCAAAGAATAATATTGTATGCAATTGTCTGTTGTATTTCACGTAATATCACTAGATCCCATAAACTGAAGATCAGTTTAGATTCAACAAGTTGAAATGAAGCTATAAGATACCTTTTAAGCTAAAGTAGTTGTTGGGTAAAGATTAGTAGAGGTGTTAGATATATTGTAAAGATAATAATTCCTACTGAAGGCTTAACAACATTCATTATAATTCTTATTGTGTATATTTCATTCCTTTTTTATATACCAAAGTTTTGTGAACCTCTTTTACATAGATTTTAGTGGTATTAATAATATAAGTACTATTGGATATTATGATAATATAATGTGGTAACTATAGTTTTCGATAGGTCAATTTAAAGAAAGAACAAATTCTGAGGAGAATCAAATTAAAAAACTAAGATTATAATCATTACAAGATGTTTAACCTCTGATGAAAATTACAACACGACTGGAAAACCTATTTGTATTCATTGTTCACCTGTTTTATGCCAACTAGCTGCTAGTCTCATCAGCTGCATAAGAATTAATAGGTCTTATATAGCTTGTAATAAGGAATAAGAATA